TCGGACGGACGGACGGACAGACAGTCACCGCTTAATCGATTTCTCTTTTCATTCTGATAATTTATGTATACATTTGTCTATATCTATCTCGATTCGTTTTGCCTGTTACAAACAACCGTTATGTGAACAAAGTTATAATACCCTTGTTGTTATATATATGTAAACTATGGCATCCCCTACACACATACATGTAACTTACTTTACGTTGACATCACTGTCACTTTAATTGAAATAAACAAAACAGTCTTGTACTGCACGTAAACGGAATAACACATGGCGCAGCCGGATAAGGAATGAAAACACGGAGTGGGGCTGAATTGAAGCAAGATAAAAGCGAAGACAGCACGGACGACGAAGGTGATGACTTCAAAATGGCCAATAGTAGCAGCACTTATGGTAGTTTGGACGTGAGACGCCCTGATCCCCTAAAGTTTGATGGTAATGTTGCAGAGCAATGGCGTGTTTTCAAACAAAATTTTGATATATACGCCATAGCCATTGATTTGGAAGAAAGAAAAGAACAGCAAAAAGTTGGAATATTTCTCAATGCGTGTGGTCCAGAAACAATTGAAATTTTTAACACTTTTGGACTTACAGTGGAACAGAAGAAGAATTATGATGCAGTTTTTGCGGCAGTTGAAAATTACTGCACGCCAAAAAAAAATGAGGTGTATGAAGCTTTTAGATTCAATTCGCGGAAGCAGGAGGAGGGGGAGCCATTCGAATCGTATTTGCTTGACTTGCGCAAAAGAGTGAAACATTGTGGGTATACGGACATGGATAGAATGATTCGAGACAACATTGTTATTGGGACAAACAGTCAAAAGCTGCAGAAAAAACTCTTAGAAACAGAAAATTTGACTTTGAGCAGAGCCATTGAAATCGCGCGCGCTGCTGAGCTAGTGGACAAATATACAAATGAAATGCAACAACAAAGCAAATGCACAACAGTGAATGCAATAAGATCACACAAACAAATTTCGCAAAATAGCGGTGCGCGCAATACAATAGAAAATACTAAAAGTTTGAGCAAAGAAAATGTACGAGTTAAGCATAATTCAAGACAAAGTGCTAATTGTAAATTTTGTAAAGGGGTTCATGAGTTTGGCAAATGCCCAGCCTTCGGGAAAAAATGCAACAACTGCGGTCGTTTAAATCATTTTAGCGTTGCGTGTTATAGCTCACAAGTTCACGAAATAAAAGAGAGTGACGAAAAAAGGGAAAGTGGCGATGATATTGTTTTGCATAATATTGAAGACTTATCAGTGGGTCGGAAAAGATGGTATGAAAAAATCAGAGTGAATGATTGCCTCATAAATTTTAAGTTGGATACGGGTGCCGACGTTAATATTTTGCCTTACAAGTATTTTATAAAATACATGAAAAATACGATGCTCTATGAAGGTGGTTTGCCACCACGCAGTTATAGTGGAGCTGAGTTGGATTACAAAGGTGTAATTCAATGTTTAGTGATGTGCCGAAATGAAATAAAGACTTTACAATTCACGGTTGTTGATACACCATACGAACCTTTGTTAGGACTATCAGCGTGTGAGCAGCTTAATCTTATAAAGCGTGTAAACGTCATTCGTGAAGCAACAAGGGATGAATTTATACGAAACTATAGAGATGTTTTTGAAGGCACGGGATGTTTTGTGACGAACTTGGATATCCAGGTAAAGAAAAATTCGGTTCCGGTGGTAAAACCAGCAAGGAGAATCCCACAGTCGTTAGCAGAAAAAGTCAAAAATGAGTTACACAAAATGGTAGAAAATGGAATAATTGAACGCATGGATGGTCCTATTGAACGTGCCTCTAATCTTGTAGTTGTTGAGAAGAAATCAGGTAAACTTCGTTTGTGCATAGACCCGCAAGATTTAAATGCAGACATTTTATCGGAAAATCATACGATTCCATCATTTGAATCTATATCGGTACGTATTGCTAATAGTAAGATATTCACTGTGTTGGATTTGAAAGAAGGGTTTTGGCAAATCGGACTTAGTGAAAAAGCTAGTAAACTTTGTGCTTTCAATACACCGTTTGGGTGTTATCGTTTCAAGCGCTTGCCATATGGTATAAAAATAGGCCCTGAGGTTTTTCAAAAATACAATGAGAGAAATTTTGATGATATTCCAAATGTAATAGTCTTCATTGACGATATATTGATTGCAGCTAAAAGTGTTGAAGAGCATGACCACACATTAAAGCTAGTTATGGCTCGCGCAAGGAAGTTGAATATCAAATTTAATGTCGAGAAAATTCAATATAAGGTACCAGAGGTCAAATATTTAGGAAAAATTATTTCACCAGAGGGCATACGCTGTGATCCTGACCGAGTAAAAGCGATAATGAAAATAAAAAAACCGAATAATAAGAAAGATTTGCAAAAATTGCTCGGCATGATAAATTATATTCGTGAATACATACCAAATTTATCTAGTATTTCACAACCGTTACGAGAATTGCTAAAATCCAATGTCGTGTATGAATGGCATTCAGCTCACGAAAGTTGCTTAGAGTCGATAAAAACACTAATTGCAAACGCACCAACGCTTCAATCTTTTGATGAAAGAAAAGAAATAACCCTCGAAACAGATGCATCTAAATCTGGCATAGGGTGTTGCCTCATGCAAAACGGAAAGCCTATCGCATTTGCATCACGCAGTCTTACAGACGCCGAAATTAACTACGCTCAGGTTGAAAAGGAGTTTTTAGCCATTTTATTTGCTTGTCGTAAATTTCACTATTACATCTATGGTCGAAAGGTTACGATTAGGACAGATCATAAGCCCCTTGTTTCGATAATGAAAAAAAGAATTTTGCAAAATCCCTTCCGCTAGACTCCAACGCATTAAACTTAGTTTAATTAAATATGACCTAAACTTGATCCACGTTCCAGGAAAATTTTTATACATCGCTGATCTGTTGTCTCGATACTTTGATGAGGACAATAACGCGCCCGATATTGAAGATCTTAACGAATTCGTCCATTCATTAAACATCACCGACGAACGCCTAAACAGTTTTCGAATCGAGATAGAAAAAGATAAGCATTTAACGCAGTTGAAACAAGTTTTAATAAATGGCTGGCCTCATAAGAAAGAGTTGTTATGTGACGATATTAAAATGTTTTGGAAGCATCGTTCTGATCTGTTTTTAGAAGACGGTATCTTATATTTGAATAACAGGGTTATTGTACCGCCTGTTTTGAGAGAAACCATATTATCGCAGCTGCACGTGTCTCATTTAGGTATTGAAAAAACAAAAAAGCGCGCTCGCGAATTAGTGTACTGGCCAGGAATTGATGGTGCTATTGAGAAAATGATAACCAATTGTGACATATGCCAGCGAAGTCGATCCGCTAATGTTAAGGAACCAATGATACCACACAGCATTCCCAATCTACCCTTTAATAAAATAGGCGTAGACATTTGTGAATTTGCATCAAGAAACTATTTAATAATAGCGGATTATTACTCGCGATATTTGGACATAGCGCCGTTGAAATCGAAAACAGCAACTGAGTGTATCAATGCACTTAGAACATGTTTCGCCGTACACGGATTACCTGTAGAAATAATTTCAGACAATATGCCCTTCAATTCATACGAGTTAATACGATTTTGTGATCAAATTGGAGCTAAATTAACAACAACAAGCCCTGGTTATTCGCAATCCAACGGTTTTGCTGAGCGTTTCGTTGGGATAGCAAAAAACTTAATAAAGAAAACAAATGAGAGTAAAAAAGAGTTATGGCTGGCCTTACTCGAATATCGCAATACACCGCTTAAAGATATTGATGCTTCACCAGTGGAACTTTTAATGAGTAGAAAAACCCGCACCCTTTTGCCAACAAAAACAACTTTGTTTCAACCAAGAATCATTCCGAATATATCTAACAACATAAATGCAAAAAATTACAAGTCAAAAAAATACTACGATCGTTCTGCATCGCAAAAAAAATCCTTTGTGAAGGGTGACAAGATATGGTATAAGAACAACAATAAGGGATGGGTAAAAGCTACAATCATCGACACACACGATTCACCTAGATCATACTGGATCGAACTAGAAGACCAAACCATTTACCGGCGAAATTCGAAATGGCTGCGAAAACGATTATAGTTATTGGTATATTAGAATATTTGAACTTTTTTAATCATTGAATTATAAATTATTAATGAATTTACTTAGTATATGAATTAAGAAGGGAGATGTTATATATATGTAAACTATGGCATCCCCTACACACATACATGTAACTTACTTTACGTTGACATCACTGTCACTTTAATTGAAATAAACAAAACAGTCTTGTACTGCACGTAAACGGAATAACACACTTGTGCACAAGTGCGCTCGGGTATAAAAATTGTCGCTGTTGTTCGTACTCATATATACTATGCAACTTATAGCTGCATTTGTGAAGGCATGATGTTGAATCATTAGTACCCAAACAAACTTTAAGCGTGTAGGGGTGCCTTATTGATGCATATTTCACCACTGGTGTATTAAATATACCAACCAGTGTTACCACTCGACAATATTTTTAGGAACAAAAAGTCCTACCAAATCAGTTTCCAAACTACCAATTTTTTTTAATCATCAGATATTGATATTTTATTTCGTTTCTGATTTCACTTCATGCAAAAGTATGAATCTTTGAAAATAATTAAATTTATATCAATTATTTTATGTCTAAAATGTAAAAAAAATAAAATCGATATAAACATTTTATATTTGGTAACAAAAAAAATGTATTACTGTGCTCGCGCAATTTTATTTTTACTGTTTTTGTTTTCATTTAACCATGATGCAATAAAATTACGGAATGTCAGCAACATAATCTTAATATTTCGGTACGAGTTTTAAGCCATTTTAGCACGCTTTCAGTACGCTTTTCTACTTTCACATCACCATTGTATTTCCGCCATTCAACAAAATTTATTTAAAATTTTTACAAATGTTCTAATATACGAATACTATGCAACAACAGCTCAATGCATTTTTGACATTTCGAATAGGATTTATTTTCTATTATAACTTCAAACATTTGATAGGATTGAAAACATCTTTAAAATTTGGAATCGGAAATCCAAATCGATGAGAAATCAATTTCGAACGAAACCAGAACAGCCCTGAAATGAAACTACCAATTCATCAAAACGGTAACACTGATAGCAGCTCTACTTGTGGTATGTATAATAAGCTCATATTAAAACAGGCAGCGTATTATGTGCACACACACTAGCTTTGTTTCTTTACTTTCCTAGCAGATCTTTACCAGGAAGAAGAATGGGAAGAATTACAGAATTACGCTCACAGCGAGTGAAATATAGAAAAAGTCAAGAAACGCAAACTAGCAGAAACAAGCTTGTAAACACCTGACCGATGATTTTGACAACTGAACATATGTATTTGCTGCGAATTTTTAATCGCATTTTATGTTTAAAAATTGTTCACAAATACTCAGGTTTTGCCACACTTTATCAAATTTAATAAATCGCCCATTTTTATCAATAATTTTTACCCCCAAAAGTAGCCTATGTCGAGATAGGTCCTTTTCCCTTTAAAGCCCCATTTCATATATTTTAACGTTTAACTAGCCAAAGATGTAGTTCAAGATGCCCCTATAATAGAATCTTAATTAAAATATAAAACAATTTCAAAGGAAACTGATTTTTTTTTTAATTCAAAGTCAAACCATCTAAAGTGACTTAAGCTACTTTAATTGAACGGCACAGATATAATGACGAAAGTTTAGTGTGTCGAATCGGTATCGGGTACCGAAAAGGAAGTATTGGGTACCGAGAATTCAGCACATCACTACTCAGAATGTCGCCTGAATAATTTTAATGACATTTGTTAACGTGGAGCTATTTGTGAACCAAATGAAAAAAGTGGCGCATTTTAGGAGCTGGTGTAGTTTTCGTACTAATCTCAATGAATAAATAGTACCAAAATGTTAAAGGTAGAATTTTGATTTGAAAGAAATACTGGTGGAATAACAAATACACCAAAACGTTCTTTTTTATTCAATCTAATCAGATTTGTACCAAAATCCATAAATTTACACCAATTTATACACCAGTGTGCTACTTGAGAAGAATCGAAATGTGAAATTTGCCAAACACAACCAAAATCTTTATTTACCGTTCAAAACCGGTTTTCGTACTTTTGCGAACTTTTGCGTAAATTAGTTGATTATGAACCGAGTTTCAGTTTATTGCCGGGTTTAAAATGAGGAAACTTGGGCCTTTCGAACGATATATGAGACCTTCTTTTTCATATCGGACACCAATTTTTCGATTGGCTTCAAATTTTTTTGTGGATTCTATACATGACATAAGCTAACACGTGTTCGAGGAATTTTTTTCG